GTGACCGCAGAGCCCAGGGGACAACTGCTTGAGGCCGGTCACACACAGCCTGTTTTTGTTTGTTGTTTTTCATTTGGTGTGTCTCAGTAGCGTATTTATCACTTCTGCCCTGTGACACGGCAGCAGAAAGCGCGGTCGTTGTTAATCCGGGCCCCGACCGATCCAGTATGATATTTTGTGATTTATTTGAAGTCATAGGATTGGATTGGGTAACTGCTTTTAGTCTAACTGCTATCCAAACAACCTTTCTGGCATGGTAGGACCTGCAGGAACATAAGTTCCAGCCAGTATAGCTTGTTGGGTCATTGCGGTGTTCAAGCCCGATCACCACGTCAAGGTAGCAGCTTTCGGTCGGGGAAGTCAGTCGACGGGGTTGTGAAGTTACATCGACTGAGTTGGATGGTTAGGACATGTGTTACGCATGCATGCCTAGCCATCGATCGCCTTCCTCGACAATGGGCAATGTTAGCTGACATAGGATGGATCAGGTTGGAAAAAAGCCAGTGGTGGTCAAACGAAAACATGGTTTCATCAGTCAATGAAATCCACAACAGTTAGTTTAAACCAACCAGCCAGTTAGGAAGGTGTAAACTTCCTGACAATTGGTGACAATTTGTGATATGGCTGAAAGTGATCGTTGTCAATGGTTGGCACAGATGTATCCACTCCCTGTGACTAATAATTTCCAATGAAACTGTATTGTTCTTCGTTATTACTATTCTTTTTGCCTCATATCTCTGTTTACTGTCTCTATTTTGCGTTTCTTTTTACTTTCTTCTCTTGCTTTGTGTGCTACATGGAGTGTGGTGACTTGAACTGCTGCACATCGGTGCAAGTTCTATGTTGAAAGCAGACAGACAGACCCAGAAAATTGTTCGGTTGAATTCAGTCATGGTTTGTAGTTAGGCAACATGGAGTCGATTGCCATCATTATTATTTGGTAGTGGATTACTGCACTTAAAACAGTTGAGCTAACTATGATATTTGAATATTACTGTGTAATAGACTGTAGTTTGTTATGTGTTATGCATGCAAAGTCACCGCCATTCTCGACGATCAGTGTTAACTACCTAGTGATGATGGCTCGAGCCGACCACATTAGGAGTTGTAGACTGTATAGCTGCTGTCGTTGTAATGCCAAGAACTAATGGCTTTAGACTGTTAGTGATATTGTGGTGAGAGTTAACTGCTAGCCAAAATTGTAGACAACAATTTACGTCAATGTTTACGTCCCAAATCGGGTCATGAGAAAAAACAATAACAAAGCTTAACCTTGAGGAACTCACCAACCAATCACAGCAGACTTAACGTGTGCAAATACGATTCGCAGATATATGGCTTAACTTTCTGAGAAACGGTCACAAGCAGTACAGAATAACCTTCAGCAAGAAAACAACCAGTCAGAAGACGTTGCCACTCTGCTAACAATAACGAATAATAATGTGCATAAAAGTATATAAATATCTGTTGATTTTCTCAATAAACGATCTATTGCCTGACCCTTGTCTTCTGTTGTTACAGTACGACTCTAAATCATTCTCAGTGGCGCAGATGCATTCACTTTGTGTAGTCTCCAAGATCCATTAAATTCTCATGTTCTCTCAAGTTAACATTCTTTCTCCGGTATGTTCCTGCTCATTATTGTTCTTTTGAATTTCTCTTTCTCTCTTTTCTGTACTTTTGTGTGTTACATCTAGTGTGGCAACTTGAATTGGTCCACTTCTGTGCACGTTTCTACATCGAAACTCGGTCAGTCAGTCAGTCATTCAGCCAATCATTGTTCACATAGCTCATTAACACCATCTTTCAGTGTTGTTGATGCTTTTTTTCTTTTTTTTCTTATATTCAATTAAAGATATCGTCATATATTTGTAGTACGACCTAAAAGTGTAATTAATCCTGAAGAGAAGACCTATCCCCTACCGGGTTTAGATACACCATTTATAATAGATCAGAATCGTTTATTTATTGAACGTCGTGATCTTTCCGGTGAATTTATTGTCTATTCTGATAATCCTAAATTTGATCCAATTATTGAAAAACAAGTGAGTTATATAATTCCATCAAAATTGTAATTTACGCCAATTAACACTATATTATTTTTTAAATTTTATTCCCTTGTGTTCCCACTGGAGAACATAGATAGGGTGGCTTCAAGCTAGAGTTTTGAAGTTTCGGTAGCAGTGATCTTATTTTTACGGGATGGGATTGCTAGTCTGACACTCAACCTTCCCTCTTTGCCGGGTTTATTATTAGCTAAGAGAGTTCTGGGGGGTGTCGGCCGGAGATCAAACCCTGGATCACCTGAGTGGCTGGCGAGCATTCTGTCTCTGAGTCACTGACACAATTACACCCATACTGTATCACTTCAGCTACAGACGGCGGAATGGTTAAGAATGTCAAAGGGGGAATCAGAAAGGCAAGTCAGACATTCATTCATCTGAAATTCCTTCCGGAAATCTGCTGCAGTCGGCATAAGAAACAAGATCCGGATTTTCAACACCAATGTTAAGTCAGTTCTTCTATATAGAGCAGCCACTTGGCTCACTCGTCACTCAAAGCATTTCCAATATCCAACTGTGGACTCTCACCAACTGCTGTCTTCACTGCATATTGAAGGTCAGATGACCCGCGAGAAGGGAAACGACGGGTTGGGTGTACTTTTGGGAATGACATGAAGGATTTCATGAGAGAAAGAAATGAGAGCTTGTGAACAATCATGGAGCCAGTTAAAGAGAAATACAAATAACGGAGTTAAATGAAAATGTACTGCTGAAGCCCCCTGTGTTCCACACGGAACCCAAAGAAATAATAATCATAATGCAATAAGATTATATTTTTATTCCTTCTAACTGGTTATAGTCCAAGTTAACAGACAACTTATGAAATGTACTAATAAATAGTTCATCCTGCCAAATCACAGAAATAAATCAGTGCTTCCATTTTTAGCCACATGTGAATTTACCGTCCCCAGCAAGAAATACCAACAACAGCGCGTACACAACTGCAAGTTGTCACCAATCCTCCAACAAAAGCTGAAGTCTTGAATGCAATCAAGCTTCTGAAAGCTGGAAAAGCAGCTGGACCAGATGGAATACCCCCAGAAGCACTGAAAGCGGACCCAGAGACGACAGCAGATATGCTGACTCCATTATTGCAAAAGGTCTGGAAGGAGGGAAAGGTGCCTACTGACTGGAGGAAAGGTTACTTTGTGAAACTACCAAAGAAGGGCGACTTAGGACTCTGCGATCAAACCTCTACCTCAACTTTATAGACTTTGAGAAGGCCTTCGACAGCGTTGACCGCGAAGTAATTTGGAAACTACTCGAGTACTACGGCGTTCCCCAAATATTCGTCAACCTTATTCAACAGCTGTACGACAACGGCACATGTCAAGTGATCCACAACGGGAAACTCAGCGAGGCGTTTGAAGTAAACACAGGAGTCAGACAAGGGTGATTATTATCACCAATGATATTCCTAATTGTGGTGGACTGGATTATGTGTCAGACAGTGGGAAACGAGAAGACAGGGATATCCTGGACCGACGTGAAGAACCTAGAAGACCTGGATTTCGCGCGTGGATGATTTATGTTTGATGTCACACAAAATCGAAGACTTACAAGCAAAAACCGAGAAACTGGTCGAAGAAGCAGCCAGACAAGACAGGACTCCAGGTGAACATAGACAAGACGGAGGTTATGAAAATAACCAACCAACAACAACAGCAGCAGCACCACATCCAGCGCCAATCACCATCAACGGGAGGGATTTGAAAGAGGTTACTTCATTCACTTATCTAGGGAGCATTGTCTCAACTACAGGAGGAGCGGACGAGGATGTCAAATCGAGAATCAGGAAGGCGAGAAACACATTCATCAACCTGAAACCAATCTGGAAATCTTCGTCACTCAGCATCAAAAACAAAATTCGGATTTTCAATACAAACGTCAAGTCAGTCAGTTCTTCTATACGGATCAGAAACTTGGTGGGTCACAAAGAATATTTCCAACAGCCTGTTGCAGACCTTTATCAACAGCTGTCTTCGCTCCATACTGAAGATCAGATGGCCGGCCGAAAAGAATCACCAACAAGAAACTATGGGGACAAACAAAACAAGAACCAATCGCCCAACAAATATGCAGGGGAAAGTGGAGATGGATTGGACACTCGCTGAGGAGGCCACTGGGTGACATCGCGCGTCAGGCCCTCGAATGAATGAAACACGAAAGGGAAGCGGCGAGTGGGACGTCCAAGGGTGACATGGAAGAGATCGTGTGAAGAGGAGTTGAACTAACATGGATGCAGGTGAAAAGTACAGCAGAAAACAGAAGTAAGTGGAGACGTGCAGTTGAAGCCCTATGTTCCACTAGGAACCCAAGGGAATAATAATAATTGTTATGGTGTCTTTCAGCTGTGGATAATGTTCATCTACATTTTCTGCAAGAAAGATGGCTAAACTTCAACGTAGCCCCATTTTACTTGTAATATTCTGAATGTTAATTAGGTAAAAGCCTGAAAGATTTATATCTGTCATATCTGGGACACTTAATTCTCAATCATTCCAAACAACATTCAACTTCTCTTCTGACCATTTAAATGACAGTTTTTTTAGAGATTGGCTACTTAGTAGGTATAATGATATAAATATAAGGCCGAATTCATATGCATTGATACAAGTATGTATCCTCACACCTAACAGTATCGTTTTGCTTCGTCTCCTATTCACTTTGACCCGAATATCAAGTCTTCTAATATTCAGGAATAGTGCTATTAGCTTCCTTTCATATATGTAAGAATTTTTTGTACAATTCACGAGATTGAAAAAAACAATTATTACTGACGTTTCGCTAGACAAATTGATCCGGACTTCGGGAGAATGATCATAATTAAGATACCAAACGTATATATATGCATATAAAGGGAGCATTTTCACATTAAAATCCTTGTCGTCATGAATAGTCATCAAAACAAGGGACAAGTTGCATGTAGTGTGATCAAAATTTAACCAGGTAGCTTCACATTACTACTATCGGTATATTTTTTGAAGCGGGATTGTTGAATTCAGTCTCCCTGAGATTCATACAAATATAATCTCTACACATGTGTTTGTTTTTCAATGTGTGCCCGATTAATAATAAGACCATCCGCCCAAGTCTTCATCAGAATTCATTTGAACTTCTTTTTGGCAGTTACACAATTCCTGTCCGACCGAAACTTCCATCCTAAGTGAGATTGACAGACTATAATCCGCGTAGATTTGCGTTGGTGGCACAATGGTGGAATGCTCGCCGACCACGCCCCATGTGGTCCGGGGTTCGATCCCCGGCCGATGCACTCTCTTACCTTGCTAAGCCAGTAATAAGACTGGTAAAGAGGAAAAGTGTTGGGCATGAGGCTGGCTAGCAACCCCATCCCGTAAAAATAAACACCACTGCTACCGAAACTTCAAGCCTCTAACTTGAAGTCCTATGTTCCACTGGGAACGTAAAGGATTAAAAAAAACTAAGGGTATAACTGATTCACCCACATGAATATGTATTGTACTTCGAAATTCAGGTACTTGAGAAGGCTAACAATTTCGTATTTACTAGCTTCATCTGCTGTAACTAACTGGTTGATTCTAGGCTTAAATGGCACAGAGAGTTAGCACGATAGTGATGGCGACAGTGGAATTTTTTTCAAAATAAGGTGCTTTCTCCACAAAACTGTAGTGGACACTTTCCATTATCCAACTTTCAATCAACTAGTCTTTATATTCGATAAGAAGAGCTCTCTTCTGAAATCAGATTTGTAATTGATGCATTGAAGTCTGTGTAGCGCTAGTATTACAATATTTGAAGAATTCACTTGGTTGAAGAAATCATTCAACTGATAGCAGAATTCTCCCTCAAAAATACACAACCAAGCTACCTACGATCTGTTGAAACGTAGGTGAATATGATGAAATGACCCACCTATCTTCATGCTACTTGCTTCATACTCTAATTGAACTTTCCAGTATGCCAAATACACCAATGACTTACAATGAAAATCCAACTGATTAGTATAGTTTCGGCTTTAGGGCTTAGTGCAATACCAGTGCGAAAAGGTTTCCACCAAAGGCACCGGCTAAGCGCACGGGAAAAGTGATGGAGAAGTTATTTGAAGTGGTTTAGTGTTGTGTTTTTTAAAAATTAATTTGTTTAAACGCTAACTTTTTACTTTATGGGCACCAAGAGATGCGCCACACAAAATCTGATAGTTTGTGTGAGGGCTGGGATACGTCCGGACTTCCAGACCGAAGGGCTAACCCCCCCCCTTAAGCCTTTATCTTGAAGTCTAACCTATAAGGCGATGGAGCTGCGCTCCCATGGGTGCCGGTAACCAAAATAAGTTCATACGCCATTCGACCCTATCGGACTCTAGAGTCCATTTACACCGTAAGTTTGAAATCATGATTTTTAAGCTCCCATAGGTAGATCAACGTATCTACCAGTCTGGTTTTAAGTACCAGATGTTCACATTCACCAGATCACTTCTGTGAGGAACATTCCTGCTACGTGGAGGTAGTGAATAGGACCCACCTGGCAGAGGCAATGAACGCGTAGCCACATGAGAGTATTTCGAGAGGAAGACCGAAGTCTACCCACCCTCGATTGTACCAGGTAGTTCATGGGAGCAAACATTACTGGATTGCACTTCAACCTAACAGTGTAATGTTTCATAGTTCAGTTGTACAAGTTGAAAATTAATTATTCGTTTTCGTTCTTTTTTTGTGATTTTCAAATATATATAGCAGAATGATTTAAGTTGTAATTCATCTGGGAATAATGAATTTTTCCATGAACATATTAAACCGTTACTATGTAAACGGATACCAGGATTTAAAGATGCTGAGGTAAATTATTTATTTTCTATTGAACATATAGTGACGTTATTCAAGTATATTTACATTCTAACATTAAGTAATGTTATTCAAGTATTGGTTTTTGTAGGAATTTGATTGATTGGTTACAGGATTTCATCCTGAACTGTAACATCGGTTAGAGAAGCACTGGAAAACCTGTCTGAGAGTACTGGAGAGCCAGCTGTTTCGTCAGCCTAGTTTGGAACTCTTCATCAGTAAACACCCACCCACCACAGGGGTTCGAGCCCAGGACCTTCCGGTTACAAGGCCAGCTGGTTTGTATACTATTCAGCCACTGGGACCCGATTCAATGGCCAGCCCATGAATTCTAACTTCTACCAATTCGTGATGCATTTAGCACGACCACCAACCAATGTCTTTAGGGTTACAATGTATTTTCCAGCTCACTGAATAAAGATACTACTTAAATGTCTCTCTTCTCGTCTTCAATCAGAACTATAACACCAGTACGGTTCACGACGAAGTATATCAATTTCGAAGTCTTTTAATATGTGTTCTTGGAGTTTTTGTTTTTTGCGACATCATCCTCGAAAGCTGTACAATCGCTTTTTTATACATACGCTTACCCAGTTACAATTATCATAATTTAATTCGATATGGTAACGAAGGGGGCTTTAAAATTCATAATAATAATAATTTTCAGCGTGATGTGAAAATCTGAAGGTGTGAACATAGATCACCGAGAGGAGGGGAGCATAGAAACAAAATTACATAGGATTAGAAAATAGTTGCCTTATACGCAGAATTATATTTAAGGAAGACAAATATGAACGGGATGTGGATAGGAACAAGTGAAAATAATAGTTTTTTATAACTGGAGAGGAAAAAAGAAACAAACGAAAACTAAGAAACCAAACAGAACTAGATCTATGGGGTAAATGTAGAGGTTGGACTAGCTCTCCTTTGAACGCATCTGATGAGGGATTCTGCAGTACGAAATGTTTGGAAACACACTGTCTTTAGTAGATTTTGGTCCATTCTGTAAATGACTCTGAATGATGTGAGTCAGTTGAGATGTTATGACAGGTGCTGACGAGATGTTCAATTGTAGCGCTTCTGATTTTTTGTAACACTGCTGGATAGTGTTGTCTAACACGCTTTGAAATGAGGTTCATATATATGTATGAAATTGGAATTTCATTTTCTGGATGTTTTACTAAAAAGGAGATCTGACGAATCTCTTCACAGATCAATCTACAGGAAACCGACATGGAAATGGTCAATACATGAATTTTTGATAGTTGAGCCCCTTTGAGAAGAAAAAGAAATCTAATCCATTCCTTATCCTTAAGAACAAGGATATGTACTAGTGATACAACCGATGGTGAACTGGAGAGACTCAGACGAGTCTTCATGGAAAATGGATATCCTTCAAGATTTATCGAGAAAAACATGAAAGTAAAGCGAAAACCCGAAAGAACCCAGACGGTGGCGAAGAAGGAACTGCTATTCATGAACGTTGAATTTAAAGGTGATACCACAGCTGAGATTCTGAAGAACCGCTTATCCAGATCACTGAGAAAAGCTTTCCTTGCGACTGAGCTACGGATCAATTTCTGCAGCCGACAAATGATCAATGGATGTGTGAAGGATAAACTGCCGCTTTTTGCCACTTCAATATGTGTTTATAAATTCACCTACTCCTGTAGGAGCTAGTTATATTGGCTGCACAAAGCTCACACTTTCCAAATGCATCTCTGAACATTGTCTGGTATGGTTAGCAAAAGGACAATGCAAGACAGTTATTAGCTCAATTCTCGAGCACTTGATGAACTCAAGCCACATAGCTGCACCAGAGTCGTCCTTCAAGATTATCTACAAGGGGAGGCCAAATGGTATAAAGAGAGTCAGGTTCTGGCATTTGTGTATGGTGGAGGCGTTGGCAATTCATGAATACAACTCCTAACTCTGTATTCAGAAAAGTTTGTCCAGTCTCTTATTCAACCATGGTCTTAACCTCTTCGCTAGTAGTTCCCTAGAAAAAAAAATTTATTTTTTAATTTCAGTTTTACTTTTAGTTTGCTTTTAGTTTAAAAATTAATTCACTTTTATCACTCTCATATGTTCGTTTTGTACATTTTATCACTCTCTTCACACCTGTTAAATGGACACTCAGCTACCTTTGTTATCACTCAATAACAATGTTAACCTTTATTTGGACACTAGTAACTAGTGTGATGTGTCTAATCCTGTGGTTTGGTGCAGACTGAATTCTGTCAGTCAGGTTTGTAATGTGGCCACCATACCACTAGGTAGCTCTCCATCACGGTACACTTTGAATTGTTGATGTTAGATGGTTAGAGGCAATCGGCAGGAAGCCCAGCCTTGGACCTAGGTTTCGTGCAAGTTGGCACTCTTCATCAGGCACTGTGTGACGTGGGTTCTAATCTCAGAAGGAACATGAGTTCCTTCAAGGTTGCAGATACGACTTGCTGACTGGTGAGTGCCAACTATCACGAAATACCTAGGTCGAAGACTGGGCTTCCTGCCGATTGCCTCCAATTCTCTAACAATTTTTAACTTTTCGAATTTCTAGCGCTTTTTTACTTTTGAAGCCACTTGTCAAGGAACTTAACCCTAAGTTCCTATTATTCGTGAAGACGCTTCGAATCGATAATTACTGTGAACGATTGTCGACTTTAACTCCAAAACACAAGGACTTGTATGAAAGAAATTGTATTGTTCGGCAGTTAAAATCTTTATCGTACAAAAGTCTATAAACAAATGTTTTACAAGGAATGTACTGTACTTTTATTCGTATTCTTTCGTCTTCTTCCAACTTGTACACGATTGAATCATTCGCACCTTCGAGTTGCCCGCCAATGGCGGCCAAGGCCAACGAACCAACGTTCAATGTTCACGTTCATTTACACCACTTCTAAGTAATTATATCATTTATGTCCCCAGCCCCACCCTATTGCTCAGTAAAGGACTAGTATACATTTTTTGGTAAATATAAACACGACTGTACAGCCTCTGAAGATGATTTCGTCGATAAAGAAAATTTTCTTCGCACTGAATTGTCTTTTACACATATTATATGATATTTTTCACTATTACTCTGTAAAACTGTTTATTGGCTTTAATTTCTATCTATAGGTAACTTCAAGTTGGACAGCTGTATGCGATTATAATACATGGGATCAAAATTTAATTCTAAGCTTTCATCCATTTCATATTAATATGTATTTATGCAATGGGTCAAGTGGTCACGGGACACAACATGCTATCGCAATTGGTAAAGCAGTAACTGAATTAATCTTATTTAGTCGATTTAAAACATTAGATCTAGTACGCTTTTCATTTGATCGTTTCTATTTCAATGAAGCTGTCAATGAAAGTAATTGTTTCTAAAAAATGAAAAGAAAAAAAACAAGAATAACTTTAGTCTTCTTATTCTGTATATTGTAAATATTGTGAAAAAAAATAAAGTTTTAAAAGACTATTTGAGTTTCAATCAACAATGAATATTGTTGGCGAGAACTTCTCCTTCAAGTATTAGATTTTGTAGGGATTTGATTGATTGGTTACAGGATTCCATCATGAAGTGTGACATCAGGTAGAGAACCATTGGAAAACCTGTCTGGGAGTACTGGACAGCCGTCTCTTTCGTCAGTCTAGTTTGGGAGCCTTCGGCAGCACGCACCTACCCACTACAGGGGTTCGAATCCATGACCTCCTGGTTACAAGACGAGCTAGCTCGTAGACCATTAAGCCACTGGGACCCTATCTAATGCCCAGTGCCTGAATTCCAACTTCTGTCGATTCACAACATAGCGCCACCGCTCGCCAATATCTTCTTCAATGAGTTACTGTGTCACCTTCAACCTGCCGGACCCTATTCATCACGACTTCCCACTCACTAGAACCCCTGGTAACTACATACCTGAACAGAGCTAGTCGCTAGTGATCACCACATTAATACTCTCAAGTATTCCTTTGTAGGGATTTGATTGATCGTTTACAGCATTTCATCATGAGCTGACAGTTAATTATATGTCCCCTTAATAATTAAGGAATTAGCGTTTTAAATAACACTGAATCTGCGATATCACAATAGATTTACAGCTCAGAAGGATCAGTAAGAGGTAGATTACATGCATCAATATAACACAGAATTTATGAATTTAGAGGTTCCACATCAGTTCACGATACCAATAAATGGCTTAACCTGTTTTATTTTACATTCAGAGCTCTGATTAATTGAAGCGAATTGCAATGGTCTCTCGTGGCCATTGAGAGTAGAAGACATGAAAAAGCCGGCTAGCTGTGTCTGATAATAGGTGTCTGTGTTCTATCTCCCGTGTAAAGTGGTTGCATAATGGGGTGAACAATATTGAGGTGAGGCATCGGTCGAGTGTTAGATAAGGAGGGAGGGGAAGTAAATCAAACGAGATTGTGAAGTTACATCAATTGAGATGGTTAGGATATGTGTTACACATGCCTACCTATCGATCGCCTTCCTCGACAATGGGCAATGTTAGCTGACACAGGATGGATAAGGTTGGGAAAGAGCCAGCGGTGGTCAAACCAAAATATGCCCTCATCGGTCAATCAAATCCACAACAGTTAGTTCAAGCCAGTCAGCCATGTAGGGAGGTGTAGACTAGTTTCCTGGTTAGGGTCTTCGGGACAGTAAAAACCAAAGATTTCTGGGGACAATGGATGATATGGCTCAAACTCATCGTTCTCAATGGCTAGCTCAGATGCATCCACTCCTTGCAACTTATAATACCCAATGAAACTACATTGATCTTAGATACTGCTACTCTTTTAGCTTCGTATCTCTGTTTACTGCCTCCAATTTGCATTCCTTTTTACTTTCTTCTCATACTTTGTGTGATACATGGAGTGGGGTAAGTTGAACTGCTGCACAGTGCAAAGTTCTATGTCGAAACCAGTCAGTCAGTCAATGGTCTCTAGTGTTTGATATCTAGACGCGTTTGATAATTTATTCGATACCCGATAGAGATGATAGAGAAAGACTCTTCAACAGGTGGATTTGTTGCCTGTTTACACGAAGTAATATAGCGTATAACTGTTGATGGTTTTAACAACACCTTTGCTTAACCAGACTGATAAGTGTTCCCGAGTACGAAAAATTGTGTTCTTAGAGCGACGGTTCTACAGGAGCAGTTGAATTAATAGATTCAATGAGAGGTGGCTCACCCTATTATACTTCCTCTTTTAGTCTCGGAATCACAACAGATTGTATGGAAAATGTAACCCGTAGCTTATCGGCATCAAACGTTCTTTGAATCGATTTTCACCTTTGAAATATAGTCGCATATATATATATATATATGAACTCTTTGTTAACTCGTGACCATGCGTTTAGTGATGAACTTCTCAGAGTGGCTGTTTTCAATTAACCTGTCGTACACAACCTTAAGTTCATTTTCAATTACATTTTCTGAACAAATAGATTTAATCTTGTATCTAACTGAATGAATTAGTGAACAATTTCAGAAGTGCTGTAGATTAGATGGAGGTTGTAGCAAATTGACACAACACAGTGTACTTTACTCTTTTATCGCTTTAATGACATCTCGTGTATGACTAGAACCTGTTCACATAGTTGTACTGTAATGTCAGAAAACAAGAGACTTGTAATGGAATGTTTATTTGCACTTTGGTATCTCTATTTGACGAAATTATGTACACTTTGTCTGGAAGTCGTCATTTGCACAGACCTTCCGTGTTGGGCTACTTCGTTCTATTGTGTTTCTTTGTCTTTCTTTTCACGTCTCCCATGTTTCGCCGCGACAGTGAATCATTTGCTCTCTTCGACGTCAAATCTATCTCTCCGTTGTTTGATATTTTCGTGCTGATGAACGTCCCCTTATATACTACTGATAAATCTTGTCAGTAGTACATACCACAATACTATTCTTTACAAAATACATAAAAGAGATACACAGTCCGAAAAGCAGAGACAGATTTGTGAGATTATCGATATAAGCGGAAGGAAAACATTTGCTAAAATATGGTTTACACTTCTTGCCTTCCTAATGCGGTAATATCCATATCATCCGAGCAAGTACACGAATAGCTTTAGAAGTGACATCCATAACAAGGCGCTATTAATTTATGTGACTAAAGAAAGAAGCATGTGACCGTAAAGATTCCACCTAAACCGTTATTTATTTAATGTGAGTATTTTTCACATACACCTTGTGTCACAGTGCAGAAAGCGATATATAAATGTAGTTGTTGCTACTATACAAATCTGACCTATTAGTAGTGATATGGGACATTTCTTTGCCTTCCCCACCCCACCCTCTTACTACCACTCACTGGCAAAATAATTCGGAAAATATTTAACAAAATAAACTTGGAAACACTTTTGGGAACACATGTTCTAATGCATTTAAAGATATGGATGTATCTACATAGTTCATGATTAGCCCCCACTTGGAGAAATTACTTTGATTTCAACGTAGATTTTGTCCCGAACCTGCATCAGTTCGACAGATTATTGAAAACCAACCAGGAGCATTCCACAGTTGTTTCACTCTAGTTCGAAACTCTTCATGATGTACATCTACGACGCCATCAGGTATTGATAGGACCGGAGGCATTCAGGGTACTACTAGACGAAGCTCGTTGACCATTCAACCACTTACACAGGAATCCAACGACCCATGAATTCTACTTTTGTCAATCAGTTATATAGTGTTAATCTCAACAAATGCCTTTGATTAGTATCCTGGACATTGTGAATCCCACTGGTCACGACTTCCCGGGATAACCGTCAATAAGCTAGAAATTAATATTTGCATTATTAGTTTTTTGTATTTGGAATTCACGTGTCAACGAGCTCGGTCTCGTAATCTGAAGAACCCGGATCCTATTTCTGCAGGGTTGTGGCTGTACATTATGACCAATTCCAAACTAGAGAGGAACAGTAGTCCACTGCTCCTGACTGACTCTCAATGATCTCTCTAAGTGATACTGGTTCGTAAAGAAATCTACATCGAAATTAATCCAGATCCCTACTGAAAACCATAATCTAAATTGTTATAAGCTGATTAGTGATGTATTCAAAAGCAATAATCTCAACATTTATCTCTCATTTATTTGCTCTTTCTTTAAGGCTTCAAACATCCGTATCATTATTTTGCTAGTAGATTCTTCACCTCACTTCTTTTCTGTTTTCAAAGTGTTCTTCGTCTTATTGAATTCTGTGCCCCCGTTTCACCCGAGTTTACTTAGCCATCTTAAATACTCTCTTTTAAAAACATCCTGAAAGTAATAATAAACCGAATTGTGGTGGTCAACATAGATGTTGGACTGTGGAGGACATTCATTTTGATAAAATCTCTCAGTGTTATACAATAGTATTTACTAATGACGATTCGAGCATAATCCAGATGTTGGAAAATTATGCCATACGCGTTAAGCTACTGAATTTATTATTAAGTAATACACTGCCATAAAACAAACATTGTCAGTTTCGGCGACGAATTTCCCGAAAAAATCCATACTGCCTCTTCCCAGTATGAAGCTAATACTCAAATATAGAGGGACACCTAGAAATCGTTGACTCGACTGAATTTTAAGTAGTCCATCCTGTCAATTGTTTAGAGATTCAAGTAGTTTCAGAAGTGGACTGTTGGTCAAAAGTTTAATAGAAAATAGATTTGCAAGTACTGGTTTGCAAGGATTTGATTGATTGGTTACAGGACTTCATCAAGAACTGAAATCGGTGAGAGAACCCTTGGAAAATTTGCCTGGAAGTATTGGACACATTGATATTCTCAAGTATTGATTTGTAGGGATATTGTTTGATTGGTTACAGCATTTCACCATGAACTGACGGTTAGTTATAATTAAAGAATTAGTTTTTTAAATAACATTGAATCAGCGATATCAATAGATTTACAGTTCAAAAGCATCAGTAAGAGATAGATGACATGCATCGATATAACACAGAATTTATGAATTTATAGGTTCCACATCAGGTCAGGATAGCAATAAATGGCTGAACCTGTTTTATTTTACATTCAGAGCTCTGATTAATTGAAGCGAATTGCAATGGTCTCTCGTGGCCATTGAGAGTGGAGGACATGAAAAGGTCGGCTACCTGTCTTTGATCATAGGTGTCTGCGTTCTATCTCCCGTGTGAAGTGGTGGTATAATGGGGTGAACAATATTGAGGTTAGGCATCGGTCGAGTGCTAGGTAAGGAGGGAGGGGAAATCAATAGATGAGTCTGTGAAGCTTCATTGACTGAGATGGTTAGATGTTAGTATGTAGCTATCGCATCCCTCGACAGGTAGTGTTAGCTGTGACATAGGATCAGGCTGGAAACGATAAAACGACTTGTGGTCAAACAAAAACATGCCCTCATCAGTCAGTGAAATCTACAGCAGTTAGTTTAGGCCATCCAGTCATGTAGCGAGGTGTAGACTTCCTGGT